ACACACACAGACACACACAGACACACACACAACTCTGATCTGAACCAAACGTAATGAACTGTCTACCTAGATATCCTCCGCTCCGCATTAACCACCAAAAATACATCACTTGTGCTTTGATGGCGTAGATTTAAATATTTATTATTTCGCAGGTATAGATATCTTGCAGTAAGAGGAGGCTGGTCGATATCTTCAGGCTGCAGTACCTCATACTGGCTGCATGCAAATGAATAACACACCGATGGTGATATACTGTAGTATCTCTGAAAGAAGTCAAACTGTGACTTCAAATGTGAATAGACCTCTGTACATTATATGTCTGTTACTCTGTCAGGATGATTTCTCTCTATCCATCCATCCATCTATCCATGCACTATATCTTCTGATAAATGTCTCCACAAGGGAACAGCTTATCTTTATACATGTCTGTGCACATGCAGAATTCTCCATCAGACAGGAGCGAGAGAAAGAAAAAGAGTGAAGGAAGATTCAGCAGAGGCAATGAACACACAAAGAAAGAGGGATCCCCCTCCACATCCATCAACTGATCTGTCCATTTATTCCTCTGACCAGCAATCCACCATCTAACAGTGTTTAAATATTTACCACAGCTAAAGGAAATAGTAGCACAACGGATGCAGAAGCAGAAAAAGGGGGGATGATCGGGGAGGAGTGCAAAAGTGATGGATGGAGGGAGGGATGGAGGGAAACATTGAGGGCAGAAGCTGCAGGATAGCTCCCCCTGGAGGCGCAAGAAAAATGTGGAGATCCAGAAGTCTGTCAGGTGAAGTAACAGGGGAGAAAGTCAGAGCTGATATAGAGCAGGAGAGAGTGTGAAAATCATTACACTACTAGAGATACTCCAGATGTTTGATAAAATACTGGGCATTGTGCACTCATCCATCCATCAGTCAAGAAAAGAAAGAAAGAAGAAAACTAAGCAAAGCAAGGAAGCACGAATGAACAAACCAACAAAAGGAAGGGAAGAAAGAAAGAAAAGTACGGAAGTGAAGGAAAGATAAAAAGAACATTTCATTAAATTAACAAACATAAAAACAAACAAGAGAGAAATAGGAAGAAAGAAAGAGAAAAAAAAAGCACAAACAAATCAACAAACAAACAAAGGAAAGAAAGAGAGCAGGAAGCACTAATATAAGAAAGAAAGAAAAAAAGAACAAATGAACAAAAACAAATGAACTTACTAACAAAGAAAAGCACGAAAGAAGAAACTGAGAATGAGAAAGTCGTCTGTGAAGTCAGGGAGTAAAGACAGAGCGAGATCCAGAAGGGCCTCACTGATCAGGGCCACAGCATTTCTTATTTACACACACACACAACACACACACACACACACACACACACCAAAACATTTCTTATTTACCAGCTTACGTCTGCACTATTTATGGGGCACTGGGGAGAGGCACTGAAGAGAGGAAGAGAGGAGAGGGGCTAAAATATGCATAGGGGCTGGTTCTTCTGGGACAGATGGGGGAGTCAAAGAGAGAGAAAGGGGAGAGAGGGAGAGAGAGAGAAAACTGCACGAGGGAAAGTGGAGAAACTGTGGCCCTGCTGACTCGAACGGGAAAGTGGTCTCAGACTTATGACCTCCCACGTATGTGTACAGAGGGGATGGACGGACAGATGTGAGAGCGGGTGATTGAGGGAGCGGAGGAGAGAAAGCGAGGACCTTTGTGTGCGGAGGGGGGAGACGGATAGAGGGGTGAGGTCGGGAGGGAGAGGAGATGAGATGATGCAGTGACGTGTTTGTGCTGCAATGACTCTGGGGTGTGTGGCTGTGTGAGGGAGAGAGCAGGACATCATACGGCTCCTCTGAGGGGATGAGAGAGGCCAGAAGTCTTTTCTATCTGGCAACCTCAGTCCAACACACACAGACACACACACACACACACACACATATAGTCTTGTCTCTATAGCATTAACTTCTAACCCACTCTAACCTCAACATGAACCACTAACTTTCCAAACCTTAAACTTTGCCTTAACCTAAAGCTCACCCCCTACCCTTATCTTAAAACACCTGAATATTTAAAGATTTGCATTATGGAAGGAAGACAAGTCCTCATAAGGTGTCAACAGATTTAGGACCCGACAACATTAGCAATGCCTGAACCACACACACGTTTGAATACACGCACGCACACACGCACGCAGGATAACAGCGAGCAGTGGCATTAACCTCCATGGTTGTAGCTCTCCATCTCTCTCAGTCAGCCTTTCTGTCTAGCCCACTTAGAGAACCCTCCCATGGGGCAATGGAGCTGTAGCAGGTCGGGCTCAGGCTGCAAGTTTTCTCTCTCTCGTTCTCTCTCTCACACACACACACACATATAGACACAGAGAGACACACACTTGGGCCAGGACCAAAGAGTAACAAGATGGATATAGCCACAGTGCAGCAGCCAAAGAGAAAGAAGAAAGAGGAGCTGAGGGAAAAAGAAAGATGTTGAACTGAGCTCAACTTAGCTGGAATAAAAACAACACAATTAAACTCCTCTGACCAAACTCAGGTGAGTCGGTGTTGATGTGTGAGCTTTCTGTCCTTATAGATTTTCTTATTGCTATAAAACCCTCTGTCCAATATAATATATATAAAAATAAGAGATTCTGCTCCAAGTCGTGTTGAAGATGTTTAAACATTTCAACTCGCACGTGAGCTTGATATGAGTCACAGCCAGAAATATCAAGAAAATCAAACAAATAATTATTTTTAGGGTTAAATGCTGTTGAATTAACATAGTTGTGTGTACATTTAGAATCTTAAAAAAATTCAAACTAAAGTTGAGATATATACAGTTTGTTAATATAACCGCACTGACTCCTGCAGCAGATTACTGACCTGAGGAGTATTGGTGTTTGTGAGGTCATACAGACTGTGAGTTTACGCACGTATGTAAAGGTGTGTGGAGGCGATCGTGTGTGAGGTGTGAGTGGAGCCTGTGTGTGGACATTAACCGACAGGGTCCAGTAGTCACCCTGCTGTTAAATGGACTGGCCAGCCATATGCCCACCCCCCTTTAGGCCCTATGTCACTGCCACTGTGTGTCTGTGTGTGTGTGTGTTAGCTGAATGAGATCATCTTACAATTAAATAATCACAAGTAAAGAAAATTTCATGTGCAGCATTTCTTTCATTTTCTCTGTTTGTCTACGTCTCCCTGCAAACCAAACGCTGTCCAGTGCATATCATCATTTACGACTTTCAGTACAGACTGACAGGAAATCAGTATTATTAGCTGCAGCCAGAACCACGTCATGCAACTGTACAGCCAGTGAAGGTGTAGTGAACAAAACCTAATCTAACTCCTTAAGATTTAAGAGAACAACATGGAACATGCTGAGATTCTATTCCCCAATTTAATTTCCAGCCCCGTTGACAATTGTGATCATTTATAACTCATAATGAAGTCACAACGCTGTGCTAGTGAGACATGTAGATCACTTTGTGTCGGCGTACGTGGCTGCACATGTCCTGTTTGATCATTTCTGTAAGTCATCTTTAAAACAGACCGAGCTGCAGGCGCTCCACGAGACTTTCCGTAAAAATACGTGCCGTCTTGAACTCGCGTCTCTGGCAAACGCAGCGAGCGACGGCATAAGCTACAGATTTCACCTTTAACAGGACTGATGTTTAACCTGAAGATTTTGCAGGTCACTGGTCTGCTGCCAACAGGAGTACAAAAGATGGAAGAGGACAGGAGGGTTTACATCATCGCGGACCAGGCCACAGCTGCTCCAGGACCCACTCTAGGGTGACTTATAGCCTCTTTCCTCTTTCATATGCACACACACACACACACACACACTGAAATGTGTCTGGACTCTAATGACATGAAGCTTGCCAGAACCCTGCTCAGACCTCATGAGGAGAGATGGAAAGAGAGGGACGGAGGAATGAAAAAAAAAAAAAGGTGGAGGGAGAAAACGGAGATGAGCGGTAAATAGAGGACTCTGTGAGTGAGGGACAGAAACAGGTAATGAATGTGCTCACTGAGGAGGGGAGGAGTTCGCCTCGTTAGACGGGTACCAGAAAACTATGTTTGTCTTTAGAATAATTATTACACTTCCTCTCACTGGCGACACATCGAGACACAAACTGTCCGTACCTGCACACAACATTTTCCTAATCTTGGCCAGAAGGGAGCAGGACACAGACAAAGGTGACCTACCTGTAGTTCTGTCTGAAAGAAGAACTTCTGCGGACACTGGGAACAGTCGTAGATTTTGTCTTCCTGTCCATGGACGGCAAAAATGTGCTGCTGGAGCTTGTTGGCCTGCACAAACACTGGGAGAGGAACAAGCACAAGTTAGTCAATGTGTATTTGATGGAGTTGGTCACTGCAGCTGAAGGCATCAAAGTGTCCAAGAAGAAATGGGGGGGGGAAATATAAACAACAAGATTTCACAGATTAGACAAAAAATGTAATAAAATATATTATGTGGAAGGTCTGAACAGCGTCTCTGTGAACTGTAGAATCACACTGATCTGTAACATGTGCATCTCAGATCTGATCTGCTAAGTTCAGGTCAAAGGTCAAAGTTCACCAAAGTTTAACTCCACACGAAACTGTGCTGCGATTCACTTCACGACAGGAAGTGAATGTTTCATCGCCTCCTCGTTGTCGCAGATTAAATGCGAACTGAAAGAGGAGGTTGCCACTGAGACATTTGCTCATGTGTAACTGGGCCTTAAACTGAACACTGCGAAACAATTACTTGACTATTTATTATAGGCAAAGAACCAAAGGACGACTGGGTGTTTGGTTCCAATAAGCAGAAAAAAACACACAGAGCAAATGAAGGGCTTAAAGAGAAAGGAGGGAGAACACGGGATGGAAAAAAAGAGAGCAAAGGGAGTAAGACAGAGAAGGAGAGAAACCGGTGAGAGAGCTATCCTCAGCAGACCTTGTGATATTTATCAATAAATTATCTCTTCTCTTTTTTTAATTTCCGCTCCAGTGTTGTCTCATGCACTTTTTTTTCTCCTCTTTCTTTCTCTCCCCTTTGTTTCAGTAAACTTTTGGTTTTCACTGTGAGTGTGTGTGTGTTGAATTATTAAGCCTCCCCGTAGGAGTGGTGCCCATCTTACTAATTCATAAGCCACTAAGGAATAGAGTTAAAGTTTAAAGCGTTGCTGTGTACCTGGGGGGGAGAGGCACACAACACAAGACAAACTCAACAACTGAGGGAGGGGGAAAAGGGAAAAGAAAAAGATGGAGTGACAGAGAGAGAGGGAGGAAGAGAATATGGGGATTCAGTCAGAGATGGAACAAGGGAGGGAGGGAGGGAGAGAGAGAGGGAGAGAGAGCAAAGGTGCTGACTGAGTTGCTGGTAAGAAACTGTAGTTGTTGAACAGATCTTAAAACACCAAAGGTCTAATGCCGGGAGTTTATTTCGGCCCCCGAGTGGATTGCAAATGTAAAAGTCGCTTCATATTTTGCCTGTTTGGTTGGTGGTATTATTACATGAACTCCTGCACACACATGCAGTCGGTTCCTCTTAAGCACGGGCACCCCGCTGCAATATCACTCCCAAAGTTAGAAATGTTAAAACAATGAATATTCCTAATGTGTTCTTGCTGTTTTCCCAAAACCCAAAAACCTTTGCAGCCATTAAAGCACATTATCTCGATGCATCATGATGTGAGGAACGCAGAGGGAGACATTTCTGAGCCACAACAGGTACCGCAGCGGATGTGAGGGAAGATTTAGGCACTAACCCTGCGTCCTGCAGCGGTACCAACCTCACCTTGCATTTTTAATACACACATACAGTACGTATAAACATTTGATTTGTAGCAGTGACAACTTTGGTGCTAACCGTTAAGGGAATGTTATGGTTTGGGTCTATTTTGTTAATTTAGTTTTGTTCTTTTTCACTTTGTTTGTATGATAAGTATTTGTCTTATTGTTTGGGCCTCTCTAACCCCGGATGACAGTACATATAGAGTTAAGTCAAGGTTATGTAGATACACTACATACTGTTTTTGTGTTTTCATTGGATCTAAGTTTGAGTTTGGAAGCCAGATAGGAAGCGAAGGAAATTACATCATATCTCTGACCCAACAATGGTCAGGGTTTCAAAATAGTCTCAGTTGTCAATCAGGACATTTCTCTCTTTACAGCATCAAATAACTAATTAAGAAAACTGGGCACTTAAACAAACATCTGTGCAGTAAGAACGACTAACAATGACTTATAGTAAGAATTATTTTTTCGTTTGATCCATGTCCCATTCAGTAACATGGAGGCGGCAGGATTTATGATATACTGCAGCCAGCAACTAGAGGGCGCCACTTTGGCTTCACTTTGAGGGAGCTGTCATGTCGTCCATCTTTGTTTACAGACACACTAAATATCTTCATGTTTCTGTGTTTGTTGTGAATACAAAGCAAACAGGACACGGGTGAGTAGCAGTTTTCTGTGCTTCTGTCCTTGAACCTGATTGTGTGTTTGTGTGTTTGTCTGTCTGTGTGTCTCTCTCACCTGTGAAGCAGACGGGACACTTGAAGGTACCTCCCATGCCTTCGAAGCTGTGCTCTATCAGGTGGCAAAGCAGCTTGGCAGGTGAGTCAAACATCTGGTTACACAGCTTGCACTCGTGATTGATGCCCTCCTCTGCAAATAGGAGACAGACACGCATGTGTAGGTTGGATTAAGCTCATGAAAACAGCAACATATGACATTATATTAAAATACTAACACCACACAAACAACAGATGTCTCATACAGAAATTTCCAGACACTGTCAGATAAATACTCATATGCCACTTATATGAAGATTTCTATGAAGACGCTTGTGTATGACGATACAGGACCTGCATTAGTAACATTAATCATGACTCTCCTGCAACATTTTGGGACGTTATTAGTTACAGTTTGACAAGTGATGTCTGACAACACAACATGAGGTGAGAAAACATTTTGTCCCCGTTCACATCCATTGCGATGTTTAGTATTATTCATCTTGATTTTACAAATGTTATATAGAAAATACATAGAAATATGTGCAATTACAATAATACAAAAACTAATGAAAGTGTCCTAATTAGAGACAAGAAAAATCCAAAAGCAAAAATAAGCAAAATAATAATAGAACATTGCTCAATATACCACAATAACAGATTTCGATGACTGACATTATTATCAAAAGACAGATTACACCTTAAAATAAAAATATACGTATACTGCTTGATGTTTGGCGTAAAATTCTGTCTTATTTGTGTTTAAGTGAAGGCAGTTATCAGATGTCCAAGTCATTTCATATGGACAAATTCAACTGAATATGATTGATACACAACATGTTAAGATATCCCACTACAACAGCTAGAGATCTTTTTCAAGAAGTGGCACATACTAAAAACAACATAGGACCCAGAGCAGCACCCGGTGGGACGCCACAAGACAAAAGTGCTCTGTCTGACATAAACTGAACCACACAGACCGAAAAACTCCGACCAGCAGGTTGGGATGAGAAGCAGTCCCGGGCAGAACCTCAAACTCCCTCTTCCCCCTGCTGCACAATCTCATTTCATTTTTCCTTACACTCCCCCAACTCTCACACACAGCAACCCCAGTGCCGTACCTGCCCCAACTGGTAATTGTCTGTCCTCCCCACTGGGGCTGTGGATGATCTGCCCTTCCTATAGCCATCCTTCCTTCCCTCCCTCTGTCCTCGTTATCCGCCCTCCCCCACTGCAGTCACTCAACCATCCCTCACTTTGCCCATTCCTCCCTACATGTCTCCCTATAGTCCCTCTTGGTCCATCAGTGGCTGATTAATTTGTGTGTGCTCCAATTCAAACCCCTCACCATGGGTGTCTGGTTATGTTCTAAAACGGGGGCGCAAACTTGTAAAGATACAAATAGGGATGGGGTCTGGGCCGAGAGAAACGATAATTCAAAAAAACTAATTTCCAGTATTTTTACATCACTTTACCTCTTAGAAAACAGCGATTAGTTAGATCGGGGGTGCTATGAAAACCAAGAATGCTCCAACAGCAGTATCTAACTGGGTGGATCAGGGCAAGATATGATAATTAGAGTAGTAGTTGTTTCATATTCAAAAAACAAACGTGCAGCCTAATAGGTTTCAGAGGCCTGAGAGGCCATCAAGGTCAAACAAGGACAAACATTACACCAAACATCCTCACAACACATAACGGTAGGACTCAGATAATTAAACTGGTGTAGTTGTACTGATATACAGGATCCATCTCAACTTTATTATCTTATATTAAGAACTATGAAGTTGACTCCAAATGGACCAGTTTAATTTTAAAAAATGAGGCAAAACGGATGAATGAAAGAACAGAGCGGTGCATCCTCGTGTTTAAGAATAAAACGATATGTAAAAAATAATTTAATCTCTGAAAATAGTCTTTATAACTTGAAATAAGTAACTTTCCACCTCTGGACACAACTATCACATAAACTTTACTTATGCCCCCCCCCCCCCCCTTTTCCGATTACTGTATAAAGAGACACACTGTTGTTCAAACTCTGCTCTGATGTAAATAAGTAGTGATAGAGCTGGTGTCACCTTTAAATATGGTCGGATATATCTCCATCAAACACACACGAGACTGTCTGCAACACCCCTCACTGGAGGATTATACCATCGTTGTGTGTATCTGTGTGTGTTTGTGTGTATCTGTGTGTGTTTGTGTGTATCTGTGTCTATTTTAAGAAGGTGTGAGTGATATCATTGCACCCTCGGTGAAAGGCCAGATGAAAGGTGGGCGTCATAAACACACACACAAACACACACATGGACCCCTTGACGATCAGGTCTCCCGCCTGTTGTCTTTATCGCCATTGTACCTTGAGGGGCCAATACCCCAGTCGCGCCCACACGTGCTTGCGCTCGCCCACACACACACACACACACACACCACCGTAGGACAGTGCCGCCTGGAGACATCAGATGGTGTCTTTCTTGGGCCAATCTGCGATCCCCCGTAGAGTGTTACACACATCTACACCAACGAGCACAGACACACACACACACACCACCATGCACACACATCCTGAGAGATACACTCAGACAATTCATTGTTTGTGTTCTGCCTTTTTTTCTCAACACTCATTGACAAAACCAATCCCCCAGCACCTAACCCACACCTCTGACCCATTAACTGTCAAAAACAGGAGGACTAACCCCGATTCAAATCTTCGCCCATCGACATGTCCTCACTTAACCGAAGATGTCCTCAGTCCAATGGTTAAAAAACTCAAGCTGGTCCTTACAATGTATAGCCACACTTGTATAAACACACACTTGCATGCACACACACACACACACACAGCCTGCAGAGCTACAGGGGATAGGGAGGTTAATAACATCTTCAATCATACATCCATGACACCCATACTGACTAATACCCACACGCACACAAAGATTCCTATCTCTCCTCGCCTAAAAGGCCGACACAAGGGTGCCCTAATCCCATCTCAATAGTGTGTGAGCGTATGTGTGTGTGTGTGTGGGTGCCACATGCGATTGTATGGCTGGGATGGCGTGCTCCATGGTCAGGGTCCCCAAACACCCCCCCCACACACACACACACACATACACAGACAAATACAAGCCTCAAAGGCTGCTAGGTTGTGTGGGGCGCCAGTGTGTCCGAGACACACTGAGACAGATAGAGCTTCATTATCATTTACTCGGAGATTGAAACAGCAGGAGAGAGTCACATGGAGTGAGACACACAGAGAGAGAGAGAGAGGGAGGGAGGGAGGGAGGGAGAAAGGGAGGAGCACCACCAGCACCATCAGTTTAAAAAAGAAAAAATAAGTCATATTTCATATTTTCATTATTACTTTAATATTCTTTAAAGTAATTAGTAAAGGAGCACTTTCAATTAACGCTGTGAGAGACACATGTATTGTTTCGACTGAAGACGCAAACGACAGAGATACATATGGACAGAGGGATAAAAAGAGTGAATCTCAGTGTGTGTGTTTGTTTGTGTGTTGNTCTGTATTGAGACGTTCAGCCTCCTGTTGCTGGAGGTAAAACGGTGAAGTGAGTGAAGTATGTGGAGCTTCTGTGCGGAGACGCCCGGGGGGGGGCCTCTGTAGAAGGCACCTTAAAGATCTCGCCCTCCGTAGGGGCGATGCTTTCCTCAGAAGTCGCGTCACCCTCTCCCACGCGTCCAAGATAAGAGGACGTGCCCATTAGCCAGTGAGATTTTACGACGGTGACATCCTCACACACGCCGAAACAACAAAGTCACTGCAGGTATTCAATTCAATTACGAACTCACCGAGTGAAATTAAGCTAACTGATAACATCTGCAACTCCTCATACTTCACATAAGACAACTGACACCGACACCTGTAACTTCAATTACTAATGCAATTACTTTACTGACATTTCCCAAAAGAAGTTTATTTCATTTCCTGATTATCCTGACATTTGTTTTTATATTATATGATTAATAATTCATCCTAAAGCCCTCAGATGCCCAACCAACAGTCTGAAACTGAAAAAAGTAAAGATTTATAATCCGAAAAACAAAGATGCCCACAAATCCTCCGACGTCACACCTCAGAATTTGCCTTTTTGTGTGTCCCCTCCTATGATTGTTGTTGGGAGAATGTGTGCGAGTGTGCGTCTCCACAGGTGACATCGTAAAGCCATCAGTCATACGAAAGAAACTTCAGCAGCTAATTAAATGTCAATCAATTGTAGCGAAATTGAAAAGTAAAAAAAAAAAGAAAGAAAAGGCAACTGATGTGAAAACAACACAACCAGAGTGAGAGAGAGAGAGAGAGAAAGACAGAACGAGGGAGAACTGAAGGGAAAACAGTGAGGTGCAGGGAGATAATTGGGCTGTCCGGAACAAGGGCATGGAGAGAGGCCTCCAACGCCTGTGTGTGTGTGTGTGTCTGTGTGTGTGTGTGTGTGTGTGTGTGTCTGTGTCCCATGAAAGAGTTCTCTTTTCTGACAAATACATTGTTTTGATCAGTGTGTGTGGGGACCGCAGTGTCTGTGTGCTGTCCCCCTCTGAGACCCAGTCCGTGTGTGAGCGAGTGTGTGTGTTGCACTGGTGGATCAAATGCACTCTGTGAGGCAAAGCGTAACGGCAGGATTCTGTACGACTCTGTCATCTCACTATGGGTCACACACATATCCACACAGACACACACACACACACACACAACCCTGGGAGGCCTGTGCTGGGACAGAGAACACAGGGGAGAAAGGGATGAGAGGAGACAGTGAGCAGGAGAGAGAGAGAGGCAGGGTGAAGGTTAGGACTCAGAGTTTGTTATCGCACAACAGAATAAGAACTTTTTTTTCTGCACATTAAAAAGAGTCAGAGGTAGGTTTTTTTTTTTTTTTTAAACCTTTTATCCTCGTCACTAATTTTGCCAAGAGACATGTCCACCGTCTTTCTTTTCCCTCGGTAGTAGCAGAAGTATAAAAGCGATAATATCATACAAATATTTCCTCGTGAAGTTTGATGTGTCAAAGACACGCAGAATGATCTGAATTCATAGCAATACGGAAAAATAATATAAAAATGCTCATTTCAGTCCAAATTGATAACAATGAATGTGACTTTAAAGAACGTAGTGGTTTTAAACTTTTCCTTTATGAGCGGCGA